CACTGGTACCTGAGCCATTGCAGCCGCGGCAATTACGACCATCACCACGTTGCACCTTGTGTCTGTCCCATCGCATCAGCGATCCGCCGAGACACATAAGGAGACTCTTGTGATACTGCTCCCCTTTTTGTTCGTGGGCTGCGTCACGATTTCTACGCTCCTATTCCGTACCATATCAAGTTCGATTTCTCCTCCTGGTAATTTGCGCGGCGAAAACCACATCGCCCCATTGACGGAGCCCTTCTTCGCCTCCTTCTGCCCCTATCTCTCCTACCGGAGCCTCCCATAATGGATGACAACCTGTTCGCCCCTCGGCATGCTTCTGTCGCCCTCAAAACCTGGAGGAAGCTACAAGATCTCAAGGCCGGTACTTCTATGGCCCTCGACGGCCGATCCCTTGACGTCGCCTCTGTTGTTGCCGTCGCTCGCCATGGCCTCGTACCTCACATCAAAGAAGACGCCCATTTGAAAGAGCGTCTACAACAAAGCATTAACGTGCTGAACAGTCACCTAGATCATGACTGGGTTATCTATGGTGTCAATACCGGCTTTGGCGGGAGTGCTGATGCCAGAACCGAAAAGCTCCGCAAACTTCAGATCTCTCTCCTTCAGCACACGCAAAGTGCCATTATTACCACCTCTGACGTGAACGGTGAGCTCCTCGACCGGGATGGGCAGTCTCATGCCATTCCCACCGACTGGGTTAAAGCCGCCATCTTGGCCCGAGCAAACCAGAATCTTCGCGGCCACAGTGGTGTCAGGTTGGAGGTCATTGACACACTGCTTAAGCTGCTCCGATTCAACATCACCCCGGTGGTGCCTTTACGCGGCACCATATCTGCCTCGGGCGATCTCATGCCCCTATCCTATATCGCCGGCACCCTGACAGGAAGCCCCGAAATCCAAGTCCGCCATGGGCCTTCCGCCTCTCATAGGCTGACCACAGCCCAGGCTGCCTTTGAGATGCACAGCATCACACCTATTGAGCTCGCCCCGAAAGAAGGCCTGGGTCTCATCAATGGCACCGCACCTTCTGTAGCTCTCGCTGCTCTCATCGTACATGAATCTCAGCAGCTTGCCATCCTTGCCCAGCTGCTCACCGCTTTCACCGCAGAGTCCCTTGCCGGCAACGTGGAATGGTCGAACCCCTTTATTCACGCCATCCGGCCCCACCCTGGTCAACGTGAGGCGGCCTCGACCATTCGCGCCCTCCTCAAAGGGTCCACCTTTGTCACCGGCCTCGAGTCCCGGAAGCGCACCGGCGAGGGCCTCTGGCAAGATCGCTACTCCACGCGTACAGCCCCCCAATGGCTCGGCCCTTACCTGGAGGACCTCCTCCTCGCCCAACGCCAGGTCGAGATTGAACTCAACTCGACCTCTGACAATCCCGTCATCGATACAACCGCAGGTCCCGAGGGCGATGTCTACTCGGGCGGCAACTTCCAAGCGACAGCCGTCACGTCAGCCATGGACAAGACGAAGAATGCCCTGCAGATGATCGGCCGCATGGTCTACTCGCAATGCACGGAGCTCATCAACCCGTCACTCAACAACGGCCTTGACGCTAACCTCGTCTTCGGCGACCCAGACAACTCATATACGATGAAGGGCATCGATGTCAATATGAGTGCTTACATGGCCGAGCTCGCTGCCCTCGCTCACCCCGTCTCGGCCCACGTGCAGTCGGCGGAGCTGCACAACCAAGGCATCAACTCGCTCGCCTTTCTCTCGGCCCGCCGCACGATGGAGGCCCTCGACGTCCTCGCCCATATGTGCGCTTGCCACGCCTACGTCTGTTGCCAAGCCATCGACCTGCGCACTACCACCGCGCTTCCTCGCCGCCCATACACCGCTCCCCGCGCTTGCATCCTCACATCAAGCTCGACGAGCGCAGCGTGCCGACGTTGTCGCGCTCTTCACTGACAGTTGGCACGACGACAACAAGACGAACTACCAGACGCGCTGCCGCCGCGTAGCCTCCCGCGTAGCCTCGCACGTCCTCTCCTGGCCATGGCACAGGGCTTCGCGCCCCTGGAAGCCATCGCGGCATTCGAGATGGGTCTCTGCAAGGACATGCTTGCCTGGGTTGCGGACCCTGCAAACGACCCCGAGCCGGCCGCGTCGGTCCCGATGGGGAACCCGGCTATGCCTGGACTGGGTCAGGGATCGAGCGTGTTGTACGGCGTCGTCCGCGGGGCGCTCGCCGTACCATTCAACCGTGGGGTTCTCGCCCACGGGCAGCCGACGATCGGAAGTGACGTGAGTAAGGTGTACGAAGCTGTGCGGTTGGGGACCGTCATGGACGCCATCATGGGCGAGATCTCAGGAATATGGGAGGAGCAGCCGGCACCAAAAAGAGCAAAGCTTTAGGATAAGGGGGTTGAAGCACGAAGGGGTGGTAGATTCGCGGTTCCCAGGCAGTAAAGCGATGCGCAGCTTGGAAACCAAATGACAACTCTTCTCTGGAAAATTGCCGTCGATATGCAACAACGAATTCTAACACCATGATAATTATATGCACTTTACATACACCGGTATTTTTCCTGACAGCAAAGGTGCATAGAGGAACCACGAATTGAGTCCCAAAGGGTTCTCTTTCATCCGTGGATCCCAACTTCCAGACATACAGATTACATCGCCTCCTTATTTCAGGCAGACGATGGCACGACTAGCTCTTTTCGCGGTACCTTCGTACAAGACCTCTATTTTCACTATGTCCTTACTCCGCCTTCCTGGGCCAACCGGTTATGCCCATCTTATCTCACGCGGGGGGCGGATGGGGTTGAAGTCTTTCCACAGGGAACACACTGTCGGCTCGACTTTGAGTTAATTGAAGAATATGCTCCCGACTCCTGGCCATCGTGACTCCGTCTCCAACGATGTCGTCACCCCGCCATTTTGCCCTCTCGATACCCTCTCGCAATCTATTTCCACAAGTAGTCAGATTCGGAATGCTTGAACCGAGCTATCCTCGCCGCCAATCATGTACTATACGGTACGACGCTCAGCCTTCTACTGCCGGAGCGCGTGAGTAATCTCACCTCACATCATTCGCCAACCATGAGCGAGCCCTATTGTTCACTCTGACCCCGATTTGGTTGTGAAAAGCTCTGCCTGATGGACAGATCTTCGTCACCCTAACCATCTATCAGGCAACCCCCTCGAGCCATTTCAAGCCTATATACAGATTGCCGACCCTTTGGCGACCATTGATGTCATCGGCGTCGCAGTTCAGATCCTCGGCTTCGCCGCCAAACTGGCCTGAATTGGAAAGACGCACCAGCCGACATAAAGCGCGTCATAGCCGAGATTCAAACGCTCAGGACGGTTCCCTCCGAGACGCATGCAACTATTCTTATTGATGACGACTTTAAGAACCGCTTTTCGCGGCCGACACTCTATGCTCCTGAGGCAGGTTGGGGACATAGCGGGGCCCACAGACACCAATATGATAGTCTCAGTATGCAAGCGAGAGCTGGACAATCT